GCACAATTATTTCAAATTTGGTGACAATATATACCTCCAGACCAGTGGCACCGCTATGGGCATCCACATGGCCCCACAATATGCCAACATTTTTATGGCTGACCTGGAACAACGCTTCCTCAGCTCTCGTCCACTCACGCCCCTTCTCTACCTACGCTACATTGATGACATCTTCATCATCTGGACCCATGGGAAGGAGACTCTGGAAGAAGTCCACCATGATTTCAACAGCTTCCACCCCACCATCAACCTCAGCCTGGACCAATCTACACGGGAGGTCCACTTCCTAGACACCACGGTACAAATAAGTGACGCTCACGTTAACACCACCCTATACCGAAAACCCACCAACCGTTATGCCTACCTTCATGCCTCCAGCTTCCAACCCGGACACACCACACGATCCATCGTCTACAGCCAAGCACTGAGGTACAACTGCATTTGGCTCCAACCCCTCAGACAGACACCAACACCTACAAGATCTTCACCAAGCATTCTCAAAACTACGATACCCACACGAGGAAATAAGGAAACAAATCAACAGAGCCAGACGTGAACCCAGAAGCCTCTTGCTACAAGACAAGCCCCAGAAAGAAACCAACAGAACTCCACTGGCCACCACCTACTGTTCCCAGCTAAAACCTCTCCAACGCATCATCAGTGATCTACAACCCATCGTGGACAACGATCCCTCGCTTTCACAGACCTTGGGAGGCAGGCCAGTCCTCGCCCACAGACAACCCGGCAACCTTAAGCATATTCTCACCAGCAACCACACACCGCATCATAGTAACTCTAACTCAGGAACTCTGCCCACATATCTACACCAGCGACACCATCACAGGACCTAACCAGATCAGCCACAACATCACCAGTTCATTCACCTGCACGTCCACCAATGTAATATACACCATCATGTGCCAGCAATGCCCCTCTGCTATGTACATCGACCAAACTGGACAGTCACTACGTAAAAGAATAAATGGACACAAGCCAGATATTAGCAATGGCAATATACAAAAACCTGTAGGTAGGAGAACACTTCAACCTCCCTGGCCACACAATAGCAGATGTAAAGGTAGCCATCTTACAGCAAAAAAACTTCAGGACCAGACTCCAAAGAGAAACTGCTGAGCTCCAGTTCATTTGCAAATTTGACACCATCAGCTCAGGATTAAACAAAGACTGTGAATGGCTAGCCAACTACAGAAGCAGTTTCTCCTCCCTTGGTGTTCACACCTCAACTGCTAGATGAGGGCCTCATCCTCCCTGATTGAACTAACCTCGTTATCTCTACACTGATTCTTGTCTGCACATTGATACCTGTCTCTGGAAATTTCCATTACATGCGTCTGACGAAGTGGGCATTCACCCACGAAGGCTTATGCTCCAATACGTCTGTTAGTCTATAAGGTGCCACAGGACTATTTGTCGCTTTTTACAGATCCAGACTAACACGGCTACCCCTCTGATACAAGATCTGCAGTGTCCTGCTTTCCCCCTGAGCCTTTCCTAACCGTCTGGCTCCTCCCCGCTCTGGGTTTGCCAGGGAGTAACCGTAGAGTCCCTGTCTCTATAGCCCCAACCACCCCTCCCGTCTCCCAGGCAGTGACTGCAGCCCCCGTCTGCGCTCAGCTCCTGGGCTTTATCCGGCCCCTCCTGTTCCTGTCCAGCTGAGTCTCATCTGATTAATCCCGGCTCCCTGGCTTCTCCTCCAGGTGCAGCCTGGGCAGTTCATTGGCCTGCCCCCAGCCAGCCTTGTGTGGGGTGGGCACCCCATCACCTGCCCCACATTGCAGCAGCCTGGGGGAGCCAGAGCAGCTCTGTAGCCTGCCAGCATTGCCAGCCCTATGGAACAGCTGAGCCATTGAATGGGCAGGGCAAGCTACGGTGCGTCTACACTGCCCAGAAACACCCGCAGCAGCGAGCCTCAGCACCCAGGTCGGCAGCCGGGGACTCCCGCTACCGGGCGCTTGGGCTGGAGCCAGGGCTGTGAAACCCGACGAGGGGCAGGTCTCAGAGCCCCAGCTCCCCCTGACTGCCGCCCGCCTGCAACCAAACCTCATCGCACCACAAGCAACACCGCACACGCAGCAGAGGATGGGCCGGTGGTGATAGCACCCAGCTGGGCCTGCCCGACCTCCCCGGGGAGGTGTCGCGGGTAAATCAGTTATTGTTAGCGACCTGCTCAGGTCCTGCGAGGGCGGGAGCATCTGAGGGTGTAGCTAAGTCAGTTCCCATCAGGTCACCTTCACCCCAGGCAGAGGGCCGCCAGGGAAGCCCCCAGGGCAGCTCTTGCTGAGTTGTATGTGCTAGGTGCTGTACAAACCACAGAACACAGAGACAGTCCCTGCCCCAAAGTGCTGCCAGGCTAAGTATAAGATGGAGACAGAGAGGGGAGGACAAGGAAACAAGGAGACAGGACTGGCCAGTAGGACAGGCTGTGGGGGACGCTTCCTAAAACTGGGGGGGGGGGGTCACCTGTGCCCAAACTAAGTGGTCCTATTTGTGATCTCTCTCCCCGCCCCTTTTCCCCAAAGCCCCGCCCACATGCTGCCCCTTCCCTCCAAAGCCCTGCCTTTGCACCGCCCCTTCTCCCCGAGGCCCCGCCCTCATGCTTCCCCTGAGGCCCCACTTCCAGGCCGCCTCTTCCCCTCAAAACTCCGCCTCCCGCTCGGTCTTCTCCGCCCCCTTGCCCGCCCTTACAGATGGTAAAGAGTGTGGGGTCCATGCCCCTCCAACCCCGCCAGATACCCCTGCTCGGCACACCAGCTGCCTGACCATTGTCGAGTCTGTTCTTGGCCTCCTCGCAGAGGAGAGTTTGAAGCAGGGCCCGAAGCAGGGGAAGGAGGTAGCTCTGTGGACGACTGGGGGAGAAAGCAGGAAGGTGCTCATTGGAAAACGTAACAGGCTGGCGATGGAGGCAGGCCTGAGGGACCCATCGGACCGTTAGCTGGACCGGGGCTGCCCAGGGCTATTCCTGTCCCTCTGCACAGGGGTGAATTCCCCTCCCATGGTTCTTTAGACCTGCCTCGAGTTGCCAGCCTTGGATTCCCGCGGCACAAGCAGGCGCGAGGGTCGTTTTTGAAGGACACAGCAGTTGCAGTGTCAGTCAAAACCCTGCTAGGAAAGCTCCTGGTGTCAGCGGAAGGAGCGCCCCCTCTTGCCCCCCCCCCACCCTCATACACACACACACACACACACATATACACACCCCTGTACATTTCACCGCTCCCCTGGAATTCTGTATCCAGCCCTTCGAGCTCCGACCCTGCCAGAAATCAGTCGTTTCTTACAGCTCTAAAATTGAACTGCAGTTTTTTAAACTAACTCCCCATGGCCTCACTGGCTCAGTGTTGGTTTCCAATCCCTCCTGTGTCCTCCTTCGTGCGCGGATGGCCCCAGAAAGACGAATCGCGATTCCCTGCTCTACAGAATGTGGGACGGCTTGTGAGCTCTGGTCCTTCCCTTAACCAAGGCCAGCTTTTCGGTTGACTCATGCGCCCCCTAGTGGTCGATGCACATTCCCTCCCCCCTCTCCCTGGGCTGTGGTAGCTTCAGCTTTGCTACAACAAGCGCAAATGTCCTAAAACATCAGATCTAACGACCCATCCCCCCACCCCCAGGACAAGCTTCCGCTATTTCTTTGCAACTTTCAACCTCATCCCCACCAAGCAACTTCAGAACGTGACCTGGGCCTGCGCACACAGAGGAACGTACGAATTCCCACGCTGGATCAGAACCAGGGTCCATCTAGCCCAGTAGCCCGTCTCGGACACTGGCCGGCCCCAGATCTCTCAGAGGAAGATGTAAGAAACCCTGTGGTAGCAGATGGGGGATAATTAGGGTCACCCACCAACTTTCTAAATGCTGACAACCAGCCCCCCTGCCCTGCCCCCTGCTCTGTCTTGTCCCTCGAGGCCCCACCCCTTGCTCCGCCTCTTCCCTCGAGGCCCCGCCTCCTGCTCCACCACTTCCTCCAGGCCCTGCCCCCCACTCTCTCCTTTCCCCTTCCTGCTTCCCCATAACTGGATCCGCTCCACCTCCCGCCCCCCACCAGCTGGGCTCCCTCTGCCCTGGGGCTGGCCGGAAGCTGCAGCCCATGACACGGAGCCTGCCTGGCCATGAGATGCAGGTAGGCGCTGGCACCGGCAGAGCAGGGGCTCACACGGGTTGATGACCCGGCACCTCCCAGACCCCTGCCCGCAGTAACCGGACTCTTGGTGTCCGGTCAGTACATCTGACCAGACACTGCCCGGTCCCCTTTTGACCGGACTTTCTGGTCGAAAACCGGGCCCCTGGGAACCCTACATCATCTGCCCCCCATATAGATCTGATGCTGACATCTCACACATCCTCACACCCCTTGTGGCCATGGCAAGCTGGCCCAGGGCTGCCGAAGTGTACAAGAGACAGACTTCTCCCGCTCTGGGGGCTGAGAGAGACAGGTACCATCTGCCCAGCAGTGGGCCGCCCCGCACCCAGCCTGATTTCTCCTCACACGGACCCTGAGCACAAATCAAAAGCGATGCCCCCCCCCACCCCTGATGCTGACGATGAAACCAGAGTGAGTAGGGGGAGATTCGTGCCCCCTGCTGCTTGGGGGATGGCCCTCTGTGGCTATTTGTCCCCGATGAGGAGCATGATTCTGTCTCTTTCATGCACAGGCTTAGTGTGGGCCGGTCGCCTTGGGACAGAAGCAGGGGCCGTCTCTCTAGATGTGTGTGTACAGCTCCTAGCGCAAAGAACGGGAGCCCCATTCCTGGCTGGGAGCCACTGAATACAAACATGAAATAATACCACCACTGACCGTCATGAGGGACAGGACGGACTCCCAAGCCTTAGGGAATTCACTCCCACGATGACAAATGGAATCTGTCCAGAGGGAGAGATTATATCTGTGTGTGTGTGTGTGTGTGTGTGTGTGTGTGTGTCCCCAGGGACAGATTGTATTTGTGTGTGTGTCAGTGTGTGTCCCCACAGGGAGAGATTGCATCTGTGTGTGTCAGTGTGTGTGAGTGTGTGTGTACATGCATTGTAGCCCCTTCCCCTTTATTTTAAGTCCCCAGGACATTTGCTTCCCTCCCCCCAGGCTCTCTCAGACACAATCTGCTCCTGCTCGGGACGAGCTGGTGAATAAATCACGACGCTCCGGTGCTTTACAATCTGGGGCAGTGGCGCCGTTAGCCCCCCACAGAAGAGGAGCCCGACTGAAGCCGGAGTTAGCGGATCTAGTTGTAAAATGAACCCTCCGTCCCCAGGCCCTGAGCCCCCCACTGCAGCCAGCGCTAACTGGATGATTCCGCCGGTGCCTCCTCCCCCTACTCCCTTCATGGCGTCAGGGTCTAGTGTGAGCGCTGGGGAGATCTTCATCACTCTTGCCAGCGCTGGCTGAGATGCAGCATCCCTGAGCAAGGCGGCCACTTGGCCAAGGCGTGAAACCGCTTGGACTGGAGAGATCCCAGCTAGGACCACTTCGTTCCTGGAGCACTGTTCAGTGAAGCTGGAGAGAGGAGGAGAAGGGGAGAATAGATCAGTTTGCTCCGGAGCCTGTGATTCTGCTCACCAGGGTGTTGATCAGCCCCTGCTGCGCGGTGGGGCTGTGGACAGAGCGGGAGGCTTTCAGTTCTGATTGCACGAAGAAACTTCGGTTGGACAACACTGAGCAGGGCTCCAGCTGGCATCTTCCTTAGCCATCCCAACCCTTCCTCCTCCCCGCGCTTCGTCCGACAGGTAAGGGGTCTCTTTCTGATCTTGGCAGGTTCGCTAGGAGAAAGCTGCTTTCACAAGAGCACGCCCAGGGAGATGATATGCATGTGCTTAACAGCAAAAGGGCAGCCGAGCAAAGCTTCGCCAGCAAACTCAGTGATGAGGAGAGCAAAGGGACTGGAACATAAGAACATAAGAAAGGCCGTACCGGGTCAGACCAAAGGTCCACCTAGCCCAGTATCTTGTCTACCGACAGTGGCCAATGCCAGGTGCCCCAGAGGGAGTGAACCTAACAGGCAATGATCAAGTGATCTCTCTCCTGCCATCCATCTCCATCCTCTGACAGACAGAGGCTAGGGACACCATTCCTTACCCGTCCTGGCTAATAGCCATTAATGGACTTAACCACCATGAATTTATCCAGTTCTCTTTTAAACTCTTTTATAGTCCTAGCCTTCACAACCTCCTCAGGCAAGGAGTTCCACAAGTTGACTGTGCGCTGTGTGAAGAAGAACTTCCTTTTATTTGTTTTAAACCTGCTGCCTATTAATTTCATTTGATGACCCTTAGTTCTTGTATTATGGGAATAAGTAAATAACTTTTCCTTATCCGCTTTCTCCACATCACTCATGATTTTATATACCTCTATCATATCCCCCCTTAGTCTCTTCTTTT